GCGGCGGTGGCGAGCGCGTTTCCCGAGGAGCTCGATGCGGAGGGGTGGGAGGACGGGGAGGGGAGCGCGGTCGGCGGAGAGGGGTGTCGGCATGGCTGGCCGCAGCGAGGTCGGCCCGAGGCGCGAGAGAGCTGCGCCGCCCTGCGCCTCTTCTCGCGCCTCGCCGTCGCGCATCCCGCTGCGCCGCGCCGCCTCCTCGACCCGCTGCTCGATCTGGCGCTGCCCGTCCGGCTCGTGTCCCTGCTCCAGGCGCAGGTCCATTGGCTCTTCTCGGGCGGCCGCGCCGACCCACTCGAGCTCGCCCTCGTCGAGGACTCGCTGCTGCTGCTCCTCGAGCTCGCGCGCTGCACCGAGATGTGCGTGGAGCTCGCCGGCGGGTCGTGGATTGCCGACTTGTCTGTGGTGACGGAGCATCTCGTGCGCAACGAGGTGCACCCCGCCCTCGCGCGCCTCGGCCTCCCGGCCAAGATGCTGCAGAACGCGCTGAAGCCGGCCGCTCTCCGCGGATGAGCGAACGGCGCGCGGGGAAGCTTGGACCCCCTCCCCCCGGGGGCGACTCCCGCAAGCCAACGAGCCGCAAGCCGTACGTACACTGTGACTGTCCATGAAGCCGCCGAGGGCCTACACGGGGGGAGATGGCTGTGCTCTGCGGGGCGCAGAGGGCGCTAAGTAGGTAGTTACTTTAAGTACCGTGACAGTCGTCAGTCCCGAGAGTCCTTCTGACATGTGAGTGAAAGTGCTCTGAGCAAACACGGTACAGGATCGAGGTGCACGCTGCCGAAGCAGTGTCGTCCCCCCTCTCCCCTACGGCGATGGCGGTGTGACCGATCGAGCTACAAAGAGGAGCTTGTTTTCAGGCTTCAGTGCAGGATCCGGGAGATAGTAGATAGTCAGATGCACTACGACCTCAGTCCTCACTGGGCCTGAGACCACCACACGACAGCATCCCGTCACCGTCTCGGATTTATGTGGGGTCGAACCACTCCGGGATGGGCAAGCCCATCAAGTTTCGTTTCGATCCCATCTGGTTAATTGTCAAAATTCCTGTGGCA